TTTTGAGATGGAGTCTCACTCTTGTCACCCAGGCTGGAGTGCAATAGCGTGATCTCTGCTCATGCGACCTCCACCTCCCGAGTTCAGGCAATGATTCTCCTGCCTCAGCCTCCTGAGTAACTGGGATTATATAAATAAGTGCTTTCTCTCTCTTTTTTTTTTCCCTTGAGACAGAGTTCTGCTCTTGTGCCCCAGGCTAGAGCACAATGGTGCAATCTCAGCTCACTGCAACCTCCGTCTCCCAGGTTCAAGTGATTCTCCTCCCTCAACCTCCCGAGTAGCTGGGATTATAGGCGTGTGCCACCATGCCCGGCTAATTTTGTATTTTTTTTTTTTAGTAGAGACGGGGTTTTTCCATGTTGGTCAGGCTGGTCTCAAACTCCCGACCTCAGGTGATCCGCCCGCCTCGGCCTTCCAAAGTGCTAGGATTACAGGCGTGAGCCACGGCGCCCAGCCAAATGCTTTCTCTTTGTGAGAAAGGTTCCAATTTTTTTTTTTTTTTGGGCACTCAGTCCATATGCTAAAGAATCTCTCCATTGCTTCTACTCTTTTAGGCCTGGTGAGTGTTGACTTCGGAGTAATTCTTTTTTTTTTTTTTTTTTTTTTGAGACAGGGTCTTGCCCCATCGCCCAGGCTGGAATACAGGGGTGCGATATCGGGTCACTGCAAGCTCCGCCTCCCGGGTTCACACCATTCTCCTGTCTCAGCCTCCTGAGTAGCTGGGACTATAGGTGCACGCCGCCACGCCCGGCTAATTTTTTGTATTTTTAGTAGAGATGGGGTTTCACCGTGTTAGCCAGGATGGTCTCGATCTCCTGACCTTGTGATCTGCCCGCCTCGGCCTTCGAAAGTGCTGGGATTACAGGCGTGAGCCACCGCGCCCGGCCAGAGTACTTCTTGAAGTTGTTCCAGCCATGGTAATTTTGGTTTATTTTTTTGTAGCATTGTCACTGATGTGGACTCCTTGATATCCTTTGCTCGGGAAATAATCACGTTCTGATTTTTTTTTTTTTTTTTTTTTTTTTTTGAGACGGAGTTTTGCTCTGTGCCCCAGGCTGGAGTGCAGTGGCGCGATCTCGGCTCACTGCAAGCTCCGCCTCCCGGGTTCACGCCATTCTCCTGCCTCAGCCTCCCGAGTAGCTGGGACTATAGGCGCCCACCACCTCGCCTGGCTAATTTTCTTGTATTTTTAGTAGAGACGGGGTTTCACCGTGTTAGCCAGGATGGTCTCGATCTCCTGACCTCGTGATCCGCCCGCCTCAGCCTCCCAAAGTGCTGGGATTACAGGCTTGAGCCACCACGCCCGGCCCACGTTCTGATTTTTATTCCAGGATTCTTTACTATTTCAAGCTTCTCTTCAATATTTAAAATGTTTCCATTCACATGCACTGCCTACCATGTTTTGAGCCAGAAAGCTTAGACATGTTTGAGATGTTAAATGTGTGTCTTTTTATATATATAGAAAAGTTCAGAAAGGCAAAAGAAGAGCAAAACACAATTTTGTGAAATAATATGTAGTGAGCCAAAGTAGCAGTCAGTGTTTGAGATGTATGCACTTTGTGTATTTCTACAAGGCTCAGTTCAGCTGGGTGCAGTTTTCTGTGTTCACCTTGTGTTTCTCACAGATGAAACTGCATAAGCAAACACAAAATTTGCATTGTGCTCCAATTACTCTCTAATATATCAGTGGCACTGGAACAGATTTGCATTTTAAACATAAGCGTTGGCAGAACTGACTATACTTGTATTCTACCTTTATAATTTCTGCCAGAGCTAAGTCCTCCCTGAAGTGATTTTTTGGAGTTCTCCTGAAAAGAATGCAGTGTGACATCTGTCAGGATTACCTGCTTTAGCCTTGTTGTAGGTTATATCTGTGAAAATATGCTTTCATGTGATACAGTTCTCTTGTAGTAATTAACCTTTAAAAATTACATTTCATTTAATCTAAATCACCATTCATTTTAAAATGTACCATTGTTTTATGTTTCAGTGTTTAACATTATTTTATATGTTTAGGAGAAAAATGAATATTTGTCTGTATCTGAATCAACTGTACCACCCAATAAAGTGTGTGCCACACTTTGCATTGACTGGGACATAAAACTGGAAGCTAAACCTAGTATATTTTCCTTACGTCCTCTGGGTACCCAGGAGTCATGTTTCACACCTTCTCTGCTTTTCTGACACATCATTTCCTTTTGTTCACAATTTTCTTAGTGTAAGTCTTTGAGAGGTGGTGAGGCTTGAGATTACTTTTGATAGACAAGTTTTCAAGAACTATTTTCCCTGCATTCTAGGCTGGAGTGTCATAGAAAGTTTACCAATTTGCTAGAGTGGACACTGGAGTACCCTAGACCAGTCATAGTACTCATCACTGTCTTTGCCATGAAACTTTATAACGTGGCTCTCCAGGTGTTGAATCTGGTGCCCTGTCACCCTGTGCTCAGGGAACACATGGCAGCAATCAGCATGTGAAGCGCAGAGGGAGGGCAGGCTCCCCTTGTGATATCTGAGCTATCAGCTGACTCAAGTCTCTCTCCCTTCTCTCCTTATTCTCACGCTACCTCTCCCAACCATTGTCTTGACTTCCCTGGCCAGGATGCCTGCCATATTAGATGGAGAGGAGGCAGTTTCTAAATGGCTTGACTTTGGTGAAGTCTCAACTCAGGAAGCTCTGAAATTAATCCACTCGACAGAGAACATCACCTTCCATGCAGTCTCTTCTGTGGTGAACAACTCGAGAAACAATACTCCTGAGTGTCTGGCTCCTGTCGACTTGGTGGTCAAAAAGGTAGGGGCCTGTGACTGGTACAGTCCTTTTTGAGCTTTATGTCTTCTGTCAGTGTGCCTTTCTTTTAGGATGTGGCCTTTTATGATCAGCCCTTTAATTTGGACCATCAAAAGCTCTCATGCCCCTTGTACACGGCAAGGTAATGTAGAGCAGTGATTCTCAAACCTGGCTATGACTCAGAGTTCCCAGGAGAAGAACTGTTTCAAAATGTAAATGCTATTCAGACATCCTGAATCAACATTTAGAGCTAGGCTTGGGCTTTTGTATAATTAAGAAGCTTCAGGCCGGGCACAGTGGCTCACACCTGTAATCCCAGCACTTTGGGAGGCCGAGGCGGGCGGATCACGAGGTCAAGAGATCGAGACCATTCTGGCCAACATGGTGAAACCCAGTCTCTACTAAAAATATAAAAATTAATTGGGTATGGTGGCCCACGCCTGTAATCGCAGCTACTTGGGAGGCTGAGGCAGGAGAATCACTTGAACCCGGGAAGTGGAGGTTGCAGTGAGCTGAGATCGGGCCACTGCACTCCAGCTTGGTGACAGAGTGAGACTCCGTTTCAAAAAAAAAGCTTCAGCTGGGTGCAGTGGCTCATGCCTGTAATCCCAGCACTTAGAAGGCAGAGGTAGGAGGGTAGCTTTACCCCAGGAGTTCCAGACCTGCCTGGGCAATATAGTGAGACCCCGTTCTCCACAAAAAGGAAAAAAAAAAAAAAAGCTTCTTTGATGAAATGAGTCTGATAAACCAAGTTTGAGGACTTCTAATCTAGACAGTGATTGTGAGAAAGACAAAGGAGCCCTTGACCATATTGTGTCTCCATCCCCAACTAGCTGTAATTTTTGGTGTCTCTTTTCCGTATCTTTGCTTTCTGAACTACAAGTTGGAGGAGCTCCAGTCCTTAGTCTCCTTCAGGAGGATTTGAGAGCATTCCTACCGTGAACCTTAACTTCTTAGAATCAGCAAGGATCCAGAGGGTGTATTTTAGGGAGGGAAGGCAAACAAGCAGAAGGCCTGCAGTGGGGAGAGAAGTTCCAGAGCAAAAAGATGGTCCCCACTGACATTTGTGGGTAAGGGTTTAGCGATTGTTTTTAGGTGGCATGGAGGGACTTAAAGTAGGACATACTTGGAATGTTCCAAGAATAGACATTTTAGAATGCCGTGTTAAGGATGATTGTTAGAACAGCTAGCTGTCCCCTCTCTATTTTTCTTAAAGTTTTTTCCATACCCACAGTCAGTGTCATCTTTTTTTCTTTTGTCATGATTCTGATAAACTCCTGCAACTGTGGCACTTTTTAAAAATAAGATAACTCTAAAACTAATTCTATATACAGGCTGAATATCCCTATCCAAAATGCTTGGGAACAGAAGTGTTTTAGATTTTGAATTTTTTCAAATTTTGGAATATTTGCATTATATACTTCCTAGCTGAATATCCCAAATCTGAAATGTACCAACAAGCATTTCCTTTCAAAGTCATGTAAGCACTCAAAAAGTTTAGGATTTTGAAGCATTTTGGATCTTGGATTTTCAGGGTTAGGATGCTCAACCTGTATTCCTTTTGGACTAGACACTGCCCATTTCTGCCATGATCTGTTTTTTTTCTTTTTCCTTTTTAGAGACAGGGTCATGCTCTGTTGCCCAGGCTAGACTGCAGCGGCATGATCATAGTTCACTGTAGCCTCGGACTCCTGGGCTCAAACGATCCTCCCACCTCAGCCTCCCAGGTAGCTCAGCCTACAAGCGTACACCACCATGCCTGACTCATTTTTTAAATTTTTTATAGAGTTGGGGTCTTCCTATGTTTCCTAGGCTGTTCTCAAACTCCTGGGCTTGATCTTCCCACCTCAGCCTCCGAAAGTGCTGGGATTACAGGCATGCACCACTGCACCTAACCCTGCCATGGTGTTTACTCCAAAAGATGTCACATTCTGGAGAGGTGGCATTGTGCCAATTCAGAACCTTTCAGTTCAGGGTTGGGGTGTGATGTAAAGCAAGCCAGTAGGGAGTAGTGACAGTCAAGCAGAGGTTGTACAGATTGTCTGCACAAAGAGGAAACAATGTAGCCATATCACAGTGGCTGTTAGAAATTCTTCTATATCGGCCGGGCGCGGTGGCTCATGCCTGTAATCCCAGCACTTTGGGAGGCCGAGGCGGGCGGATCACAAGGTCAGGAGATCGAGACCATGGTGAAACCTCGTCTCTTCTAAAAATAGAAAAAATTAGCTGGGCGCAGTGGCGGGTGCCTGTAGTCCCAGCTACTCGGGAGGCTGAGGCAGGAGAATGGCGTGAACCCGGGAGGCGGAGCTTGCAGTGAGCTGAGATTGCGCCACTGCACTCCAGCCTGGGCGACAGAGCGAGACTCCGTCTCAAAAAAAAAAAAAAAAAAAGAAATTCTTCTATATCTCTCCAGTCTCATTTTCCAACACTCCCCCCGGGTCATGCTGAATTACATTCTTTTCCCTGAGAACGCTTCATTCTCTGCACATTTGGAATGCCTTTCAGTTCTCTTCTCTGGCTGGTCCCACACAATCCTCTGTGAAACCTTCTTTAAGAGCTGCTTTCCTGCCCCTTAGAGCACACTCCTCTCTTTCCACTCTTTACTGGTGGGCCCCAGCTGGCCCTTAGTAACATTTTCCAAGCCTGGGTAAGTACCTAATGCCTCTCCCCTTTTTCTTCCCTGGGACTTGGCCTTTTCCCAAAAGCTTGAGCTGAATGGTTTGAACTTTTTCCTCTTTCTCCTAGGAGCTCAAGGCAAGTGGCAGTAGCCAGAGGATGTTGCAGTGGCTGGCCACAAAGTCACCCAAAAAGGAAGACTCAAAAACACCTCAAAAGGAAGAGTCAGATGTTCCCCAGTGGTCCAGTCAGTTCCTGCAGAAGAGTTCACTCCCCACCAAGAGAGGCACTGCAGGACTCCTAGAGCAATGGCTGAAGCGAGAGAAGGAAGAGGAACCTGCGGCCAAGCGTCCTTACAGCCAGTGACACAGGACTTTCAGAGACCAAGGCCAGGGTCTGCCTCACTGCTGTTCTGATAATAGGTTCTTACATTGTATGTGTGTGTGTTTGCTTTGGGAGGAGGTGGCACTGTGTTGACAGTTGTGGGCTCATGGGGAAGTAGCCTTTTTGGCCATGAGTAGGAGCCCCTAGTGGGGCTGGTGGACAGCTTTGGAAGAGGTGTCCTGTTGCTGTCACCAGCCATGTGGGCCCCATAGGGGCACTGTGCCTGCTGCCCTTTTCCTGGCAGGGCTGGTGGAGTCTTCCCTCAAAGCATGCTTTACCCAGTTGGGAAGTCTCTGCCCTGATCTGGTACTCCTTGTAGTAAGCTATTTTCTGCTCAGCTACTGGGCTCTTTCAGTTTTTTAGAATAAGTTCTTAAAATGTATTTTTTTCCTGAATAAATTATGTTTGGTAAACTTCTGCCTACATTTTGGAAAATGATGCTGGTGGGGAAAGTTCTGGATCTTACTTGTTTTTCTTCTAGAATCAGTCCTCAGGAATGAGTTTTGTCACAAACGGGGCATGGGGGCTTTCAGAGGAAATAACTACAAGTCTTGGTGGTGGGCTCCTTATTATGTTTCTTTTTATTTCAGTCTTGATACTTGTAAGTTGTCTGAATCCTTTAGCTTCAAACCAGCCTGAGTTGAGTGCTTGACACAGCAGAACCTGTCCTGACCACAGGTGGGAAGGAAAGGACCAGTTTCTAGCCGTGTCGGGCCAGTCCTCTTTTAAGCATCTAGAAGGGAGGCATTCACAAAAGCTGCCCCAACAGCTTTCGAAATGACCAGGAGGACTGGGCAGCGCCGAGCCCAGAACGCTCCTGACGCAGCCTTGGCTGCGGCGACCGGACCGATTGCTACTGGTGCGGGGGTGGTGCAGGCCCCAGTCTGCATGCAAATCAGGGATCAGAAGATCGGAATTTCCACCAATCAGCGGGAAGCCTCGGCCCCGTAACTGTTAATGGGAGACAGCAGCGCCACGCCACAGGCTTTTCCGCTGGAAGGGTGGGGGGCCAGGTGGGGCTCTCGCCCCCGACCCTTCTCCGAGGCCTGCCCTCCTCGCCTTTTCTCTAAATTCCTCTTTTGAGTGCCCTCCCTTCCGGTTGAGAGGTGGGGATTGGCCCGTAGTTACACACTCAGTCACCCCGCACTGTGAAGACCGGGCCTCCCTTGTGAACTGATTTGCGTGGGATTTGGTGGTTTTATTAAGAGATTTAAAAAATTTAGATGACTTACTAGTATGACTCTTTTGTCGTATTTGCTTCCAGTTTAATAAATGACAAAAATGAAATTCCCTTTGTTTTTCATTACCATCTCCCCACTGTTTCTCATGGTTGCAAATTAGTTTGGTGAGGTCTTTCCATTTTAACATGAAAGAATATAATGCCTGCAGGGGCTCGTTTCCTTTTCATTCAGGTTTTTATACTTTCATATAAATGTGATGTTAGAAACAAATCCTGGCCGGGTGAGGTGGCTCACTCCTGTAATCCTAGCACTTTGGGAGGCCGAGGTAGGTGGATCACCTGAGCCCAGGCGTTCAAGACCAGCCTGGCCAACATGGTGAAACCCTGTCTCTACTAAAATACAAAAATTAGCCGAGCATGACGGTGGGTGCCTGTAATCCCAGCTACCTGGGAGACTGAGACAGGAGAATCGCTTGAACCCGGGAGATGGTGGTTGTAGTGAGCCGAGATCATGCCACTGCACTCCAGCCTGGGCAGCTGAGCAGGACTCCATCTGAGGAAAAAAAAAAAAGCAAGTCCTTACATCTGAGAGCATGCAGTATCATTTTATGAGTTTCAGGTTTACATAAACTGAAGGGCATTCTGCAACTTCTTTTTCTCTAAGTCATCGGCTTTACTAGGTATTGCCAAATTGCTCTCCAAATTTTCATGTATTTCAGGGGCATAAGAATCTTCATTTTCCCACCTTGCCAACATTGAATCCTGCTTACTAGAGCAATGGAGCATCTTCCCCTGTCTTCTGTTCTTAGTCAAATCTCAGGGACCAAACAGGGTAGTTCCTACCTGCCTGTCTGGGTGTGGCCAGGTGGAGCCAGGCCCTCTACCATTCTCTGGAGCAGGTGGGGGCAGGCCTACGATGTGGCCATCTGGCCCCTCTGCTTGGCTCCCAGATAGCAGTCCTTCCCATCTCCCTCCCTTTCACCCTCTAGCAGTGACCAGGCTTGGCTCTAAGCCTTAAGGTTATGCTTCCCTGCACTGTAGCCTTAGAGGAGGCAGAGAGTCCCTGGGATTTCTGGTCCTGATGGATACAGGTGCCTGCCCCTCAGTCCTGTCTGCAGTCCATGTTAATCCATTGTCTCATGCAAGGCTTATATACCTAAAGCTGAACCCTGCTTTGTATAGAGGTGGAAGCAGACCCAGGCAAGCAAATATGGCTTGACATAGATAAGTTAAGGACAAGTCCACAGGACTCCTGACTTGGGAGGAGTGTATCAGCTTGGGGAAGTTGGATGAGATTTTGCTTGTTGCCAAGAAGAGCCCAGAGGGTGGGTGTTGTGGGGGGGAACCAGAGGCAATAAGTGAGACCTCAGACTCCTAGATTCCTGGGCCTGTAGAAACTCCCCATTCTTACCTGGGCCTCTTTCTTCTCAACCAGAGTGAGGAACAAGTGATGGGAAGGGTTGAACCTCATTACTGGGGATAGGAGCTTTGGCTCAGGCTCCTCTGAGAACTCTCCACCTGAGAGGGTCCTCAGTACACACAGACCTTCCCCCCCATGCCCGGAAACAGGGTCTTGCTCTGTCACCCAGGCTGAAGTGAAGTGGCGTGATCTTGGCTCACTGCAACCTCTACCTCCTGGGCTCAAGTGATTCTCCCATCTCAGCTTCCCAAGTAGCTGGGACTACAGATGCATGCCACCACACCCAGCTAATTTTCATATTTTTTGTAGAGATGGGAGTCTCACTATGTTGCCCAGGCTGATCTCAAACTCCTGGGCTCAAGCGATCCTCCTGCCCTTGGCTTCCGAAAGTGCTGGGATTAAAGGTGTGAACCACGGCACCACCCAACCCCCTGTTCTACCACAGAAAGTTGGGCAGCCAGAAGAAGGATAGGGGATGGGAGAGCCAAGAAGAGGTGAGCAAGAAAAGTAGCCTCTGTGAGGGCATATTTATAGGATGCACTGGGCAAGGCTCTGGGGTCCTAATGACAACCCTCTATGGAGAGGTTGTTACCCAGGTGTAGATGCTCAGCACTGGCCGATAGGTCTCTGGCTTTCACCAGTGTATGGCTTCCTTTGGTTGAGTCTCCTTCAGGACACCACCATTTGGGGCTCCTTGACTTGTGAAGTGGCCAGAAGGGCCCTCATAGAAGATCCAGTTGAGAAATCTCAAAGCTGGGGGACTTCAGGCCACATTTAGCTCACACAGTGATTTTGTTTGGCCTATACAATATGTATTTATTTATTTATTTATTTATTTTTATTTTTTTTTTGAGACGGAGTCTTGCTCTGTCACCCAGGCTGGAGTGCAGTGGTGTGATTTCCACTCACTGCAAGCTCCGCCCCCCAGGTTCACGCCATTCTCCTGCCTCAGCCTCCCGTGTAGCTGGGACTACAGGCGCCTGCCACCGCGCCCGGCTAGTTTTTTTTGTATTTTTTTTTAGTAGAGACGGGGTTTCACCATGTTAGCCAGGATGGTCTCGATCTCCTGACCTTGTGATCCGCCGTCTCGGCCTCCCAGTGTGCTGGGATTACAGGCTTGAGCCACCGCGCCCGGCCGTATTTATTTTTTAATTCTGGTAAAAGGCATGTGACGTAAAATCTGCCATCTAAGCCTTTTTTTTTTTTTTTTTTTTTTTTTTTTACTTATTTTGAGACAGACATCTTGCTCTGCCCCCAAGGCTGGAGTGCAGTGGCAAGATCTCGGCTCACTGCAACCTCCGCCTCCTCAAGCGATTCTCCTGCCTCAGCCTCCCGAGTAGCTGGAGCTATAGGCACCCACCACCATGCCCAGATAATTTTTGTATTTTTAGTAGAGATGGGGTTTTGCCATGTCGGCGAGGCTGGTCTCAAACTCCTGAGCTCAGGTGATGCGCCCGCCTCGGCCTCCCAAAGTGTCCCAAAGTGCTGGGATTACAGGCGTGAGCCACTGCGCCCGGCCGAACATTTTAAAATATACATTCAATACTGTTAATTGTATTCACGTTGTTGTGCAACCAATCTCTGAAACTTTTTTATCTTGCAAAACTGAAAGTTAAACAACTCCCCATATTTCCCTCCCCTCGGCGCTTGATAACCACCATTCTTTCTATCTCTGTGAATTTGACTATTCTAGATACCTCATTCAAGTGAAATCATGCAGTGTTTGTCTTTTTGTCACTGGCTATTTTCACTCAGCATAATGTTCTCAAGATTCATCCATGTGGTAGTATGGGTCAGAATTTCCTTCCTTTTTAAGGCTAAATAATATTCCATTGTATGGGTAGATCACGTATTTAAAAATCTACTCTTCTGTCAATGGATCCTTGGGCTGCTTCCACCTCTTGGCTATTGTGAATAGGGCTACTGTGAACATGAATGTGCTCTTCTCATCTTTGCATTCTTTGGGGTATTTGCCCACAAGTGGAATTGCTGGATTACATAATAATTATGTTTAATTTTTTGAGAAACTGCCATACTGTTTTACATAGCAGTTGGACCATTTTACATTCCTTTCAACAGTGCACAAGTGTTCCAGTTTCCCCACATCCTTGCCAACACTTGCTGTGTTCTGTGTTTTTTGTTTGTTTGTTTTTTGTTTTTTAAGACAGGGTCTGGCGCTGTTGCCCAGGCTGGAGTGCAGTGGCTCGATCTTGGCTCACTGCAATTTCCATCTCCTGGGCTCAAGCTATTCTCCCACCTCAGCCTCCTGAGTAGCTGGGATTAAAGGTACACACCACCATGCCCGGCTAATTTTTGTATTTTTTGGAGAGATGGGCATCTCGTTATGTTACCTAGGCTAGTCTTGAACTCCTGGGCTCTAGTGATCCTCCTACCTTGGCCTCCCAAAGTGCTGGGATTATAGGTGTAAGTCACAATGCCCAGACCTGTTTTTTGATAGTAGCCAGTCTAATGGGTATGGGGTATTTGTTTTTTAAGCCCATATTTTAAAATAATGGGAAATTTCAGAAAATAGTGTAGTTTCCACTTTGAAAAATTTTGAGGAGGTGCCTCCGACACCCAGGCACCACTGCTGCACTGAGGTACCCTACCCCATTCCTCCCTGGATGTCCAGACCACTCCCAGCCTCCAGAGAGGGACATGGAAACTTTCAGGAGGTGCTGCTTCTAACATTATTTGGAAAACTGGGAAGCTCTGAAAACAATCAGTAGGAGCTGGGTAGTCACTGCCCCTCTTCATGTGCAGTCTGTGTCTTCCAGTTGGCCAGAATGTTCTACCTGGTCTGGAAGCCCTCCTCACCACCCCCCACACCCATTTTTAACTGTGGAATTGGGAGGGCTTTGCAACATGCCAACTTGGCCTGGCTGAACCATAATTTTCCAGAACTCCCTGACTAGTATGTTTTCCATTAGGGTGGGCCAGGAGGCAGATTCTCACCAGATTTGGAAGGAAGCAACCATATGGATTACTGATCTGCTGACTCACCTGATGGGCATGAAGCAGCACCTGGACCTGCAATTGTTGTGCTTTTCCTGGACTCTCCTTCAGTTTTTTCTGACTCCTGGGGCAGGTGTGTGCACGTCTAGCTCTGTGACTAAGGGTCCCAGCTTCTACCTTCATCAGTGAGGTCAGAGGTAACAAGAATAGACACAGGTTTCAGTCTGTCATTATGGGTTCTCCCTGTGCTAGTGAGGTTTCAGTATGTTTATGTGCTCATGGTCTTCCCCTCCTGACCACCTGCCTGTGGACTTCAAGCTCCATCAGTCTTGGAGATACAGCCTTACAGAAACTGCTTAATCAGCCCCTACAATTGTGCAAGCCAGTTCCCTGGTTTTCCTTCTCTGTTGAGTTTACATGGGAACCTGAAGCCCTGCTGATTTATCTGGCCTCATGCCCTGTCACATCTCCCCCACTGCTTTTACCACTACACCTTTCACCATTCCCCAAACCCAGCAGCCTGTGCTACTGTGGGGTTTCCAGTCTGGAATGTCCCTAATAGGAGCTTGCTGATTTATCTATCCTTCTCCTGTTTTGTTCTCCCATATCTCTGCAAGTATCACCGCCCCCAGCTTGCAAGTGTAAGTAGCCCTAACAGCAGTTGCTGTGGGAAGAACCAGGACTTTGCCTATTCATAACTGGTGGAGCTGCTGGAAGAGCTAATATGCCCTGGGCCACATCACTCAAGATGTGATGACTGGGACAGTGAGATGGCAGCACCCCTTGTGCTAGGAGCTCAGACCCTCCCCAACAGGCCCTGTGCTCAGCTCCAAACCCTGCCCTGGCAGAGACACAGCTTTAGACCAGGTTGGTCTAGGGACATTGACTGAAGATCCCCTTCTACCAGTCACCAAGGCTACACACCCTGGGATGGGGCCTTTGCAGTGTCTGCAGAGCTGTCCTGGGGCCAGGGAGAAGGCAGACTGGGGGACCCAGAAGGCAGACGTGAGATGTTGAGGAGGCTCACAGGGAGGAGGCAACATCGCAAGCAGAGTAGCCCTGGCGACAGGTAGAATGCTAACCCCAGGGGGATTCAAGGGATTGGGGGTGCAAAGGCTAGAGGTCTTGACCAGAGATAGTGTGATCAGACTCTGCCTAGTTAGCAGATGAGTGATTTTAAAGTCTTTCTTAGCACCATTTATATATGAGGAAACAGTCTTGGGGAGAACAATCTTGCCCCAGACCCAAAGATCATAGTGGAGATAGGTCCACTATGGGAGCCTCTAGCAGGGGCCTGCTCCTACCTGCCCGCCTAATACTAATCCACACTGGGCTGCAGAGGAGAGCTCAAGCCTGGGCTGTTTTGCACACAAGCCCTTTACCTCCTTGCTGTACCAGGGTCACCTCCTCTAGAAAGCCCTCTCTTCCTTAGCCTCACAGTGTCAAGTGCCTTCAATGTTCAACTGGAATTGAGGCGTCTTGAAGCCAAGTCCAGGAGACACAGTAAATAAATGGTGGATCCTGGACTCCCCAGCCCACTGTAGGAGCTAAGCATCAGGGCAGAAAAATACAGGCTTTGGAGCTACATAGAGCAGGTTTGAATCTTGACCTGGCTGTGTGGCCTCCCAGAGTCTCAGCAACTGCATCAGTAAATTTGGCTCTTGAACACCCTTTTTCAAGATTGGGGTTGTTTTGAGGTTGAGATCAGGCCTGTGAGTCCTCAGAGTACCAGACACAGTGAGTACTCAGGTGTGGTTGGTTGTGGTCATGTGGCATCAACTTAGGGCACCTCTCAGGAATGTGGGACCTACTCTGAACCCCACAGTAGCACAGGTCCCATAAAGTCAGCCGCCCAGCTGAAGGGGCCAACTGAGCAAGCTGGGAAAAAGGGAGGGGAGGGGCCTGTGGGCAGAGAATGGGACACTAGAAGGGTGGTTCAGAGGAAGAGCAATTTGAAAGGATGACAAGGTCCAGGATGGGCTTGTGGGGAGGGTTAGGTGAGTCATTCCTTTGAGTGAAAGACCAGGATGCAAGCAACAGAAACCCTAGTCAAACTAATGTATGCAAAAAGCAATGTATAGGCTCACAGGATAGTCAGGGCTATCCAAGCTTTAGGCATGGCTTGATCCAGAAGCTCCATTAATGTCATTAAGCATCTGTCCATTTCCTGGCTCCAATTTTCTCTATCTTGGCTCCTTATTCAGGGGAGCTCTCCCTATATGTTGACAAAGATAGTTACTGGCAACTCTGGCCCACATCCCTAACATTTAGTGATCCCAGTGAAAGAGCACCTGTTTCTCAGCAGTTCCAGGGGAAGTCCCAGGATTGACTTGCATTGAACCCACTGGATCAAGAACCCACTTCTGGCCTAATCACTGTGGCCAAGTGAACAACTGATTGAACACTTATTGGCCAGGTCTTCAGTCATGTGACCACCCTGGGGCTGGGTCCCCAAGGGAAGCTCACAATATTATCAGCAAAATGGATGGCTTGTCTCACTGAGGGCTGGTCTACTGGGTGCTTAAGTGCTCCTAGAGGGTGCAAGCCTCAGGGTGGAGAAGACAGCAAGCTGGGGCCCATGCCAAGGAATGAAGAGAGGGTGAAAGGCGGCAGGGGTGGGAGGCAGCACCAGAGGAGGCGGCCACTAGTGGAGGCAGGTGGTGTGAACAGCAAAGGGTAGATTTTGGTGAGAAATATGGAAAGGCAATAAGGACAGCCCAAAGCGCACTTTGGGGCACTGGATTTAGCTGGCCAGCAGCACCATCTCTTTAGCATCCTGGGTGTGCCAAGGCCTCTTCTGGACCCTTGCTGCTGGTGGCCTATTGGCTGGCCCTGCAAGGAGTGTGGGACAGGCCTGGGCTGGCACTTGGACATGATGGGATGTCCTCAAAGGACAGATGGTCAGCAAGGTGGAGGACTTAGGGAGGGAGGGAGGTTCAGGAAGGGATGAAACTCTGTTCATGGAGCACTTAACAGGCAGGCAGGAAGGAGCAGTGTCCACAGAGGACAGATGTCTGAGGCCTTGGTGGCCTTGGTGCCCATGGCCCCCTGCTGCAGCCCTTCCCAGCCCTCTGAATCCCAGAACCACCTGGGAAGCTGGTCAGAAGGCTGATTCCCAAGGCCCAGCCCCAGAGATTCAGATTTGGACAACTGGGACATGAGCTGGCAGCAGGGGTGGAGCTGCCAGCCTAGCCCTGCCTCCTAGGTGCCCACAGGAGCCCCAGACCCCAGCCACAGCCGTCTGTGTCCTGATGATGGTACCTCTGCCCTCATCATTCACTGTCTCCACACTAGCCAGGGAGCTTGGGCAGGGCAGGCACCTGGACTGGTTTTGTCTACTGCTGTGTCCGCAGCGCTTGGCCCAGGACAGGGCAGGTAAGACTCTCACTGGCACCTGGCTCTGCAGTTTAGTGAAGCAGGAAGCAGCAGGGAGGAGGCCCCAGTGGGTTATGAAGATTTGCAGACGGAGTGGAGTGGCAACTCACCCAGGCGCCAGAGAGGTCTGCCAGGCCCAGATCAAGGGTAGCAGCAGTCCTGGGCTCCTCTCCAGCAATGCTCCCTCCCCTCAAGTCTACGGTCAGGAGGTCCTGCCCCCACCTGTAGTTTCTGCAGTCTTTTACACAGGGGGTAAAACATAGGGGGTAAAATGAGCTCTCCTGCATTCTCACCTAACCCCGGCCCAGGGTCACTCACACTGGTATGAGTATATACCCACTGTTTTAGAACCTTCCCCCATTTCCCACTGCCCTTGGGGGCCTGTTTTGCAGTTGTCCATTTTTAGGGACATCTGTCAGAATAGACTTTGGCCTATTGCCCAACTGGACAGACAACTATCCCATATGCTGGACACCAGAGTGTCCCAGGGCTGGGGATCCTTCTGCTTCTAATTTTCCCAGCAATCCTTTGGGTCCCGTTTGCACTCCAGCTTAACCAGTAGGCTCAGGGAGAGCTAACACCCTTCTGAGACCACACTTTGAGTTGTGGTCAGCAACTCCACTCTGGCCACCACACCTCGTCCAGGTCACAATCTCTAACTCTCACTGGAATCAGAATGACTAAGCTTACAGGCCAGGCTGGTGTTAACTTTGTAAGACCTACCTCTCTGGAGACCAAGTTGAGGTCCCTGGCAAGGGCCCTGACCATTAACCCTGAAAACCCATTAATTCCCCCACCCACCACGGCAATGGTCGATGGACCCCCCTGTGCGGGCAGATACACCCATCCCTCCTAAGGGACCGAACCTGTCTATCTCCCTGCCTCAGGTACTTTAAGTTCGTCCCAGGCCAGCAATTCCCACCTCTTGCTGAAGGCCCCTGGCTCCATCCAGGCTTACACTGGCCAACATATCTGGGGTATACGGACCCGAAGGGCTCGCCCTCCAACCTTGCCTGCCGAAAGCGCCCATCTCTATTCCACTCAGATTAAACGAGAGAGGCTGAAAGGTTTAAACGCTTTATTGTGCCCCAAAAATAGGCCCATGGAATGAAGGGAAGCGCGCGCAGCCCTGAGCCCTAAGCGATTGTTTGTCGCGCACCCAAAGGCAGGGAGGGTGGGGAGCCGGGAAGGGATGCGCGGCCTCCGCGTCCCCGCGCGCCTGGGCCCGGCCAACCAGCGGCCCCCGCCCGGTGGGCAGGCGCGGCCTCGGCCACCAGCGCCTAGGGGCCAGTAACCATGACGACGACCGTTGCCAAGGCCGAGAGCCAATAGAGGCGTCGCCAGGGCTGTTTCAAAAACCTAAAGCAAACAACGAAAAACGCTACATCGTTGGGGGAGGGGAAAGACAGAGAGGACCCGGGGCCCCTCCCTGAGGCTCAGACCAGGCCCCGCGGCCCCGGCCAGGGCGAGCCGTACAAAATCTACGTCACTTGGGGTAGAAAAACAAAAACACTGAAAAGCCCACGCCGGCCGCTCTGACCAGCCGGCACGATCACTTGCGGCCCTTGGGCACTTTGGGGACGCTGGGCTTGGCCGCCTTCTTCACCTTCTTGCCCCCAGCGGCCGCCGTCTTCTTGGTCTTGCCGCCTTTGTCCTTCTTGGCGGCAGCGCCCTTCTTGTGCGAGCGCTGCTCCGGCTTCTGGCCCCTGGCGGGCTTCTTGTCCGCGCGACGAGAGCCGGCCGCGCCTGAAGCCGCCTTCTTCGCTTTGTGCGCGGTGGGCGCCGGGGCGGTGGCGGCCGCCGGGGCTCCGCGCCGCTCCCCGCCGCCCTCCAGCTTCTTGCGGTTGAGCTTGAAGGAACCGTTAGCGCCGGTGCCCTTCACCTGTAGAAGCGTGTCGTTCTGCACCAGCGCCTTGATCGAGTACTTGAGGTAGGTGCGCCCGTTCTGCTGATCGAACCACGGAACCTTCTTGGCCTCGGTGTAGATCTTGGCTAGCGACGAGCCGTTGCGTTCGCCCAGCCTGCGGATGGTCTCCACCACCAGCTGGCTGTACTTGCCCGGCTGATTCTTCTTCTTGCTGTTCTTCCTCTTCTTAGATGGGGACAACGCCGCCGAGCCGCCAGCCTTGGTCACCTTCTTGGCCATCCCCTCGGCGGTCGTCACCGGCAGGGCCTCCTCGAGCTCCACAGACATGGTAGCAAGCGGGTTGGTGGCGGGCGGCGCGCGGAAGCCGGGGGGCCGCGCCGGGAAGAGGAAGGCGAGGGGCCGAGGGGGTGCAGGGGGGCTAGGGGCGCGCGGCGGCTCCAGGCGGGAGCGGCCGCGGCCGGGCCTGGGGCCGGGCGGCAGGGCTGGGGTGGGGGCCGGGCCGGGCCGGAGCGAGGGTTGGGGGGCCCGGAGCCGGGGCCGGGCTAGGGGATCGAGTTGGGGTCAGAGACCGAGTCCGAGCCGGCGGTTGGAGCTGGGGACGCAGACCTAGGCCGAGTTCGAGCGAAGAGAAATCCCGCCGAACGCGAGACACCGCCGCAGCTTCCACTGGCTCCTCTGGAACTCGCTGGGCGTGCGCGCTGCGCTCTGGCGGGAGGGCGCTTCTCTCGGCTTTTTATAGCTTCATGGCGGACCACGTTGAGAACAACAACAGCCTGGTCCGGGGCCAGCGCCAACTTGTGCTTCTTGGAGCCCCTTCTTGGGCCGCTGGCTTCTCGGATCGCGCCTCACCAGCGCCGCGGCGCCCGCAGCGGGGCGCCTCGGACGGGGCTTGAGCTCCTGGCGCAGTGGAGAGGCGGCTTGCGTCCTGGAAGGGCTCAGCAAAGGCGAACGGAGAGGTGCACCCTAGGCTGCGGGAGCGCGAGAGGAGGGGGGCACTTCGTTTGGAGGCCAATAGCGCGGGCCCCAGGGGAGGCCCCACGGCCGGGAGCTTGGCGGCCGGCAGCCCAGAGAAGGCCACGGGCACCCGAGCCCTGGTCCGGCCCCGGGGGCTCCAGGCTTGCCCGCAAGAGGAGCTTTAATTTGTCCAAACTAACACAGGGCGCGCCCTCACGTGGTCGGCTGGGGCAACGTGAACTGCGCTAGGACATCCTCGGGGGTTTTCCGCCCCATCCAAAGCGGATGGCGGATGGGAGGCACTCTCCAGCTGCACCCTGGGGTCTGGTTGTGCCTCTGGGGGCCTAGGCACAACCCGGGAAATGGAGGACGACAGCAGGGCCTCTCTGGGACACTGCCTCGCCTCTCCCCCTACCCCGTTGCCGCTGATGTTCCCATGGCCTCATTTTGTGATCCACAAGTAGCTGCCGCCGGTCCTCCCAAAGCCAAATGGGGACTCCAGGGTGGGACAGGGTGGGCGGGGGTGAGGTTATGACCCCCAGCGGCGTTCCTGTGAGAGGATGGGGAAGAGATTCGCTCTTAGTTCCTGGGCGCACCCCTCCCCCTCTCCCGTGCACAGGGAAATGATGGCGGCAACACAGCAAACGAGATCATGTCCTGGAGAGGGTCCCGGGTCCCGGGTCCCGGGTCCGGGGCCCCACCCTCCCCGGGGGGCTTGTGCAAGCCTGGCGGCTCGATCTCTGCTGATTCCCGTATTGGGGGTGCAGAGGAGGCACAGGACAGTTTTTGTCGAAGCCAGTGCAGCCTCCACTTGGGGAAGCTGAGACCAGAGTAAGATGCTCGGGTAGGAGAGGGGATCCCTTTGGGGGTAGGTGATGTGTAGGGCACAGGAGTAGGGTTGGGGCTGGGGGGTGGCAGGGTTGCAGGCAGGAAACCGTCTCCGGAGGCCCAGCATAGAAAAGCGATGGAGGGGTGAGGGGAAACAGGACGCTGGCGAATTGGGGTTCCCAGAGTGAGGGATAGGCACATTTACAGATGGACAGAGCAAGAGGCCCTGAAAAGGGGGTGGGTGGGTGCATTTGTGGCCTTGGACCCAAGCAGGCTTCTCTGAGTGAGGGCTGGCAGCGCCTCCCTTCTTCTTCAGCTCACCCCTTTCACACACACACACCCCATTTTGTCACCCTGACGAGGGAATAAGCCCTAGAGAGGAAGAAATTGTGTCTAGGAGGAAACGGTGAACCTGGATGAGTTTCTTTGCCGGGAGGCTGGCAGGGGCATGGAACCAGGGAACAGCCTTTGCCCTCCGGAGCACTGGGTACCCTGAGAAAAGTGAGAAGAGAGATTGCAGCCTAGGTCCCTGCGGAGGAGGGTGGGCTCCTTTCCCAGGAAGGACTGGCTGAGTGGACTGTCTCCAGGGCACAGAACAACATTGAGAGACTGAGGCCTCCACCTGCTTGAGGAAGGCCCATGTGAATTTCCTGACACAGAATGGGGACGGGTTTCTGACAGCACCACCCAGCTGAGCCTGTGAAGACTGAACAGCTGTTTCCAGGCCAGGCTGGCTGCATGGAGGACATGAGAGGAGCAGCCAGCTGTGTGTGCTGGACCCACTGATCAGGGTGCTCAGGACCAGGAGCCCTCTGAGGATGTGCAGAGGGGACTCTGGAGAGAGGAACGTGGCGGCCACAGCTGGAGTGACCGCAGTGTACAGAGATGGGATGGGAGCAGGAAACCCAAAAGAGCTGGCCCTGGAACCAGGTGGAGGGGAGGCAGCCCAGCCATGCCAGAGAGGGTAATATGGTTTGGATCTGTGTTCCCACCCAAATTTTAGGTTCCATTTTAATCCTCAGTGTTGGAGGTGGGTCTTGATAGGAGGTGATCAGATCATGGGGGTGGATTCTAATGGTTTAGCACCATCCCCTTGGTGCTGTCCTCATGATAGTGAGCTATCATGAGATCTGGTTGTTTGAAAGCATGTTGCACCTTCCCTGAACTTCTCTTGGTCCCGCCCCTGCCATGTAGGACACCTGCTCCACTTCACCTTTCACCATGAGTAAAAGCTCCTTGAGGCCTCCCAAGAAGTAGATGCCCCGTGCTTGCTGTACAGCCTGCAGAACCGTGAGCCAATTAAACCTCTTTTCTTTATAAATTACCCAGTCTCATGTAGTTCTTTATAGCTTTGTGAGAATGGACTAATACAAAGGGCTTGAGCTTAGGTCTTCTGAAAAGTCAAAGGGTGAGGAGAAGTGATACCCTTGAAGGAGTCCCAGCCATGGGCGACAGGGCCATCGCTCGGCCTCTTGTGCAGCCACTACGGGGAGAGGAGTTTGCTGGACATGCCACTCTGGAGCTGGCTGCAGCCACAGGCTGGGCCAGGGACACTCCTGGGTCATCCATCCTGGGGGAAGGGAGGATGCTCTAGTGGAGACCGAGGGACAGGGTCAGGGAGGAAGGCAGGACCCAGGTGTAGCCTCCTTCATGAAATCTGAGGAGAGGAGATGCGAGAGAGAAGGACTGGGCACCACAGCCAGTACAGCCACTCACAAAGTAGAGCTGCCGTCTGGGGGACTGAGAAGAGTGGCCAGGCTCCTGGCCACCATGCCCTGGGGCACCTGGCTGGGACTGCAGGGGAGAAGCAGTCAGCACAGGACTGGAGCCCTGCGGGCAGGGCAGTGCTGTCCAGTCCCAGGGGCAGGAAATGAAGGATGCAGCTCAGACCTCACGCCAGCGTCAGTGGGCACGTGGCCTGGGGGCCAGCTCCTCAGCCTGTGAGGCGAGGGAAGCTTTTGTCAAGAGGGAGACTGCCTGTGGCCCAGGGCTCAGAAGACTAATTCTAGACTTCGGGAGCTGGCAGGGACTAAGTGGGATCTTCACCTGCCCTCATGATATGGTGGAGGCAACTGAGGCCTGAGGAGGGGGTTAGCCAGAAGGAGACCAGGACTCAGGCTGGGGTCTTGCAGCCTTCAGGGTGTCTCCTACCCCCCATGCTCCTGGTCACCCTTCCTGCATTACCCCACCAAGGAAACCATAGGTGGGGAAGGTCCCAGATCCTCAACCAAAAAAAATGGCCATATAAAAGAAAAGGAGCTTCTGGAAGTGGCCAGGGCCTAGCAGAGACCAGGGCAAGACCATGTACCCAGCACCTGAGTCGCGCCCTTCCCTGGGCCTGGCCAGTCTGGAGGAGGCTCTGGCTCGTGAGCAGTGGGGTTTCTGGGGACGGAATCCGGAAGGGGCTCTGTGGCTGCTGGGCTCTCTCCCTCCTCCCTGTTTCGGGGATTGTTCAGTCCTGGGGCTGCAAACACCACCAGTACCCTGATGATGCAGTTCATTTCTCTAGCCCGAGGTCGGCCTCTCTCCCATGCAGACCCCAGCATCCCACTCCTCCTGCCGCTCTCACCTGGAGTCTAGGTGTGGCCAACACAGACCCCGCTCCTCCCATACTTTTGCCAGTGATTCTGCCCAGAGACAGGAACTGCTCCCTGATTTCCCTACTCTCTCATCCAACCCATGGCTTCCTGCCTGTTTACCCCAGAACTGGTCCCACAGCCACCGAGCCCCCACCCTCTCTACCCTTTCCCCCTGGCCTCCTGTTCTCTCCGCACAGCCCCAGCACAGAAGTCTGTGAGTGGTGGGTCCTGGCTCTGCCAAAAGGTCTCCAGTGGCTTCTCACCAGACATAGGGTAAAGTCTCCCAACACCTTTGCCACTAGCCTCTACCAAGGCTCTGACCTCAGCTCCCCCACTCAGTGCTCAGCCTCACAGCCTTTTTTGCTGCCCACACATACCCAGAGGGCTTTCATGACCTGGGGCTTGCTGGGGTGGCCCCTTGGCTGGCTCCTGCCCTGGCCAGCCTCCCTAGACCCCTCCTCAGGTGCTCCTGTCAGAGCACCCTCCCTGCCTGGCTCACAGCACCTGCCATCTAGTGTGTCCATTGAGTTGTGGGCTGTGAGCTAAGTGCAGGGTGGGGGCTGTCATGCTCGTAGCTGCACCAAGGCGGGGTGGACGCAGCACGCTCCCAACACAGACACACCTGCGGCAGCAGCAGATGGGAGGGAGGACAGGGGTCAGGAGCTCCTGGCTGAGCTGTGACCCGGGCTGTCCTTCAAACCCTGGGTGTGATTCCTTCCCCACCACCACTGCCCAGCCTCAGTCTCCCAGTTTGTATAAAAGGGCTAGATGTGTGGAGTCTGAATGATCCAGCTTGACAGTCTGATTCTGGGCCTCCAGACACACACTGTTCACACCCACAGTTCACACCCACAGACACCTACTCACACACAGTTACCCTCACACATGCTCACCATTCACATGCACACTTCACACATGTACACCTACTCACAGTCACATGCTCACACACGCTCACACCATTTACACTTACAGTTCACACACCTCACCTACTCACACACAATTTACCCTCACACTCACATGCTCACACACCATTCACACAGTTCACATTCATACACATATCTACCCATCCATTCACACATATGTGCGCACACACTCATACCTACACATTTACCCTCACACATACCATTCACACCCACAGGTTCACACATTCACCTACTCACACCTGTCATCCTCTCATTCACGTGCTCACAAAATGGTCACACAGTTTACCCCTCACACCCACATGCTCACCCATTCACACACCATTCACACTCACAGATTCACACACATTCACCTACTCAGACACATCATCCACCCATTCACATGCTCACACACAAGTTTACACAGGCATGTGCCCTTCACACTCATAAGCTCACCATCACATACCCTTCACACCTACAGGTTCACACACACATTCACATGCTCCCACTCACTCCCCTCACACACACATGCTGATTTACATAGCCACTTGCACATGTACACACACGCTCACATTCGCACAGGTTCACCCATTCACACACACTCGACACATTTACCCTCACATTCACCCACTCACCATTCCCACTCACCAGTTCACATGCACTCACCCAAGCTCACACTTGACCACAGACACACCCTCAAACATAGGTGCTCACACACACATGAGCCAATGCACACTGACCTAGCCATTCATACTCAAACACATCCTCACATACCCACACAGCTCTACACATACCCACTTTCTTACACATTCACACACAGACCTATAGACACATTCAAACACACCCATTCTCACATCCTCAAAAACACCTGTGGCCACTTCCTCACTCACACACAAGGTCGATGCCAACTGCAGGGAAAAACATGGCGTCTGCTGGGGTCTCGCTGGAGGCTCTCCCTGCCTTCACCCTCTCTGTCCTGTCTCGTTTCCACCCTCATATTCTGGGGACCTTGAGACTGATGCACACAAACACACAGGCCCATGACAGAGGCCCCAGAATCTGGTGGCACCTACCAGAGCTCAGGCTGCAGTGGGAAGAACCCCTGACCACAGAGCCAGCTGCAGGGCGCTGCCTCCCTGACCAGACACAAGCTCCCAGCACACACCCCTGCCCACTCATCATCTGCTGGGAGGTCAGCGACCACACCTCTGCTCCCAGACCAGAGGAAACAACACCAGAACCCAAGGGGCCAGGACGGTGACACACCTGAGCGGGCAAGGGAGCCGGTGCCAGTGCACAGACAGGACACCAGTCACTACACCAGGGGACAGCAGGCCTGATGTGCCGTGCCCTGCACTGACCATGAGGACTCGAACCCCATCTGAGGCGAGTCCTGCAGGCTAATGCCATGTGCAAGCAGGAGGGTCAAAGCAGTGACACGTCACATGTGATGGGGTTAGAGATACTTATGCCTTGAATTTGAATGTTTTCTCTAAGGGCACATATCTATATCTATATACAGATATATATAGCTTTCAAAACACAACTTTTAGAAAAATAAATGTTAATGAAATTCAAATCTGTATTCCAGAATTTATTGTATTTTCTTTTCTCTATTTTTTCACTATTGGTTTTTGTTGGGCTTTTCCTGATTACAAAAAATGCATTGCTATGATGGAAACCTCAAGAAACAACAGAAATCATAAAGACTGTGATTTAAAGTAGGCCACTAGAGAGTAATGTTAAAAGTAACAGAATAAGGCTGGATGTGGTGGCTCATGCCAGTGCTTTTGGAGGCCATGGTAGGAGGATCACTTGAGGTCAGGAGTTCAAGACCAGCCTGGCCAACATGGTGAAACCCTGTCTCTGCTAAAAATACAAAAATTAGCTGGGCATGGTGGTGTGCACCTGTAGTCCCCGCTACTCGAGAGGCTGAGGCAGGAGAATCACCTGAACACGGTAGGCAGAGGTTGCAGTGAGCTGAGACTGCACCACTGCACTCCAGCCTGGGTGACAAAACAAGACTCCGTCTCAAAAAAAAAAAAAAAAAAAAAAAAAAAAAAAAAGTAGAATGGACAAAAAGCCACAATCCTATGAAAATACAAAAGGAATGCACCCAGAAGTGGGGGTCTCACATGCCTTTATTGCGTACTGATGGGTACTTGTCTTTGGTTGCCATGGAAATGTCAAGATGCTGGGATACAGGGTGATGGGGATGTGAATTGCTACCTCCTGCTGGTTCCACACAGGCACCCATAGTGTGTGGACCCCTCCATCCTACAAGGGGTGAGAGTGCCATACGTCATCATGACAACCATGTCATCAGCAGTCTTTCCCAGTCACTGGACCCCCATCCCTCCCTGGGGATCAGGCCACAAAGGTGGATTTTGTGGGAGAGTGGAGAAGAAGGTTCCAGACACCCTGCCACTCTCTCGTTCTCCACGGGGATGGCTTTCCATGGCTCTGCTACAGCCACTCCTGGAAGTGCTGCCTGACTGAATCCTCAGGGCACCCTGGCAGGATGAATGTCGTGTCTCCCCCACTTTACAGATGGGGAAACTGAGGCCTGAGAGCTAAAGCAGCCTGCCCAACCTCCAGAGCTGAGGAGGCTGACTCTGGCAGGAGTCACTGTCAGTGCATGGGCGTTTCTTCCTGTTATGGCCTGTGGCCCCTTCCAGGCCAGGAGGCCTCCTGTGCGGGATAGGAAAATGGGAACACCCAGGCCGATTTTCCAATCATCAGAGCTTTGCTCCCTAAGGCTGATGGGCTTCTTAAAGACAAGGGAAAAAAGAACCCAGGATGCAAGTAGCCCAAACAGGCAAAGGGACGCTGGTGACCCAACTCCC